TTCCACTGACTGGGAAGTCCAATGTGAATGAGATAGGGAGAGAAACTGTGTAATCAGCATTACTACAGTTAGCAGGCAAAATGGACACTCTGCTAAATGTGAATTTTGAATCAACTATAGTTTTTTTGTGCAACCATTTACTATACAATGCAAGGGCATAATTATTCTGTAAAGCCGCTTACTGTATGGTTGAAATGCACCTGTAACAGAGCATGACATTGGCTGTCCTTTACAGACTGTCACCTCCCAGCCTTGCTCATGGGCCAATTTCTCATCTTAGTGATTTTTCCAATTTATGAAAACCCCCAAGTAAGTCTCTTCAAAATGTCATCTCTAACTGGCAGAAAGGAATAAAGCATTCTCTGGGAATTTCTTCTTGCAACTTTTATTATTAACTTTAAAAAGTTACATATTAACCAGTTGTGACTTGACCTGATTAAAGTAGGACTAAATGTTTTCCTTCTGTTCAAGCCTTGGAACTCTTTTACTTCAGGGAGTGGCTTCTTCTGAACTGGTGGAAATAATTTAGTGGGTTGAATAAATAGTTGCTGCACACATCAGGGACTGGTGCTGAGTCGGAGGCAAGACAGTGACAGTTTCACAAGGTAAGTACTGATCTTCTAAATCCTCACATTTTCCTCACTAGGCAATGAAAAAAGAAACTTAAAGGTGTGTCTTTAGGATAAGAAAATGCTATTTTATACTTCCATTTAACCTTCTTGCTATGTTTAGATGCTAATTCAAGAATTGTTTATCCTCCCTTTGAATAAATCTTAACAGAGATGTAAAAGTGAAAAGTTTAGAAAGCTAAAGCTTGAGATATGGATAAGATGAGAAATATTAATAGTATGAGAAAAAAAAGATATAGCAGCCTTGTATTCAACTGGGAACATGACCAAAACAAGAGGAATGTGGTAATTTATGCTGAAACTGTTTTTTTCTAAAGGAGTAGTTAACACATACTGTTGTGAATTGTGACATTGTAACACTAAGTTAGGAAAGCTCACAATCAAAATTTATTATAAGAAAAAATAGTGTGAAGGTAGGAGGCTAACTACTAATTAGATGACATTTTCTATCTGGGGTTTAATCAACCCTTGGAAAACTTGAAGAATGGTTAGGGCAGGGAGACAGAATTATAGAAAGATGGATGGATGTAAAGATAGATAGACCAGGGAGGACACATACTGAACATATTACTTAGTGTGTTCAGAGATCCATTAATCTCTCAAGAACTTGGAGGGAATAAACACTCGTTTGCTGATTCCCTTTTGTGAATTTTGCACTCAATAGCACTCAGTAGCACTCAAAAGTAGACCCACCAGGTAAGATCCTGTTATGATGCCCACATGCCAAACCTAAAGACCTGGTACAGCTCTTGATTTCCTGCTCATGTACATGTTGCAAAGCAACAGGTGATACCATAAGCAGTTAGGTACTTGCCACCATGTGGGAAACCTGGATTGAGTTTCTGGTCACAGCTATGGTCTGATCTAGTTGTGGCCCATGTGGACATTTTGGGAGTAAACCAGCAAGTGACAGTGCTCTTGCTAGCCTCCTCTCTTATGTCTCAAATTCAGATAAAGGAGACATAACTATATACTCAAAATAGCAAATAAAACTCAAATGAAACAATGCACTAAGTTTCTGTTCTTCCTGTAAGGAGAGGTTGTGATTTACCCCTAAGTCCCTCTTCTCTTTGCTGAAAGAGGGGGCAATTAGAACCATTCAGGCAACACAACGTCTTCATCACAGCAACTGTCCTAAGTCAGATGCTTTTTAGAACAAGCCCATTGGTAAACTGAGATATGGTTTAAGCACACACATTTTAAATTGCAGAATTTATGACATTTTTTAATGTAGCAGTTAAGATTCCACTTGGGCAGCTTTCATCCCATATTGGAGTGACTGGCTTAAAGTCTTGGACACTTGTCCGTTGTCAAGTTAAAGCAAGACATGCTTCTACTAATTTTACAATTTCAATAAAGTTTTATAAGAGCCCAGAACATAGAGACAGTCATGTATTAGGTGTTTCCATCTCTCATGATCAACTCTTGGTTGACTAATGGCCTCTGAATGGAAAAACATAAATCAGGTCCACAGAAAGGAGCCAAAGAAATGGATAAAATTCCATGGTGGAGCACAAACTCCATCGACCTGAAACCAAAAGGAGGTGTTCCCACTGACCCAGTTTCATTGTCTCTCTGACCTTGAAGGGTCATCCATCAGGGGGAAATTAGGAGCTGCTTCCCAGGACTACTTTGGGGACCAGGCTCATTCCCTGCTGGCAATGAAGGAGAAACCAAGTAGGTTACATCACAAACCAGCAAGGCTTCATGGTGACCAGTGTCCCACTCATGACTGGCTTTGGAAAACCTCACATTAAGGAAGATGAGAAAGTTATTTACCAGGAATAACGTTATCATAAATGCTAGGTAAAGATCAAAGCTCATCCCCTTGGCAATGTGATCCTCAGTCAACAGCTAAAGGAGTTTCAGTGTGAGAACGAATCACTGTGAACTCTCAGTCCCACATCTGCCTCCACAGTGTGGCGCTCATTCTCTTGTTTCATTGTGCTGGTCCACGTGAGCTCCCTTTCCCTGACAGGTTTCCCTTTTAAGGCAGATGAGTTAAGTAAGTATGCTTATTTTTTTTTTAAAGGATTGAGGGAGGAAGCGGAAATAAATGAACTCTTAAAAAAGAAAGATTTTAGTTCCTAAAAGTCAAATTACTGAGCTCCATAGTTTATTTTTAATTTTTGTTTATACTTGAAAGATATACACAGAAATTCATCATCCTCTGGCTCATTCCTCAATTGCCTGCAAAAACTAGGGCTGGGAGGGTCTGGCACAATAGCCTAGCGGCTAATGTCTTGACCTTGCACGTGCCAGGATGCTATAGGGGTGCCGGTTCTAATCCCAGCAGCCCTGTTTCCCATACATCTCCCTGCTTATGGCCTGGGAAAACAATAGAGAATGGCCCAAAGCCTTGGAATCTTGCACCCATGTTGGAGACCTGGAAGATGTTCCTGGCTCCTGGCTTTGGATCAGCTCAGCTCCAGCTGTTGTGGCCTCTTGGATGTGAGTCAGCGGATGAAAAATCTTTCTCTCTGTCTCTCCTCCTCTCTGTATATCTGACTTTCCAATAAAAATATATAAGGCTTTAAAAAAAAAGTCTAGGGCTGGGCAAGTGCAAAGTCAGGACTGAGTTTTGGTGTTTCAGGTGAGTAGAATCTGCTGCCTCCCAGGATGCACACTATCAGAGATGTGAAACTGAGAGAGGAACTCAAACTCAGGCACAATATATTACACAGACATCTTAATATTTTATAACAGAATTTGAGCTTTAGAGAGAAAATGCAACTATCTTAGTCTTCCCTTTGCACTGGGATGCCATTTAATGAGTGCTGGAAGTTTTGATTCATCCCTGTGTTAGAACTGGTTATGCCATTTGATGGAATTATTGCTAATTTCTATTGTTCCACCTCAAAGCGTGCTGGGATAGAGCAAGGGCAGTCAGTAATATCACTGACAATGAAGAAATCAGCCTGAATAGTTGCACACAACAATACAAGCAACATTCTCCTAACTGCAACTAAAAGTTTGTGAGACAAATTGTTCTTTCTATATGTAATGGACTCTTCTTGTGTTCTCTTTAGTTTTAAAACAACAGTTTTCACACTGCTCAGAATTGTCATACAAAATAAAATTCATTTTTCTTTTATTTAAATAGAAGTGGATTTGACTCTTTGGTGCAAAATATACATTGGGCAAGTCACTTTGAAATCGTTATACTCCACATCTAAATTGAGAATTGTAGCACAATTTGCCATGGGTGATTTATGTTGGATACAGGGAAGATATATTCTTGAGACTGCAAATGTGAGCTAGGCACTAGTCCAAAGTTCACTCCTTTCAATTTGATGTGAAGTCAATGCATTAAGATTTTTTTCTTAAATAAGAAAATGAAAATTCTCATAGAGGTAGAATATATAATGCCCAAAAGGGCAAATAAACAGAATCTTCTATTGGTGGAAAGAGTTTCCATCTTTTGAACTATAAATTATTAAACCAGTCTGGGACCTAATTTGTACTTCAGGTCAAATGTGAAGAGCTAAAGCATAACTTTGATCCTTTTCTGATAATTCCCAGTGATGTTTGCTCAGGTCCCAAGAGCTTCACTGTGTGAGTTCCAAACTTGACCTCTTTTCAGTCTTAATGTGGATTCCCATATTCATCCCTGATAACCATGCACATTGCACACAACACTTCTGGTTCTTACCTATATTAGCTGAACAATGCAGATTACAACAATTAGCTCAGGGCACTATTATGAGGACTAAACAAATCATCCTCCTAAAAGAATTAAGGAGATGCAGTCTCAGTTCTCCTATTCTTCCTGTTTCTACTTCCTCACAGCACCAACACACAGGTTCTCACTGTTAGTCTGCTGAAAACAGTCAAATCTTAGCAAATGGGGATTTGAGACTGATTTTGGTTCATGTAAGGATGGCTACAAGTTGAGCCAAGATAGATCTCAAGGGAGTTTTTCCAACCCTGTCATAAAGAAAGTATTTCTGGGGCGAATGTTTGGCATAGTGAGTAAGACACCATCTAGGATGCCCACAGCCTTTTCAGTGCTTCACCTCTGATATCATTTTCCTGCTGATGCTCCCTTTGGGAGTCAGCAGATGATGGTTCACATGGTTGGTCCTTGCCATCTAGATTGAATTCCCAGAGTCTGTCTTTGGCTGGCCCAACTCTGGCTGTTGAAGGTATTTGAAGAGTGAATCAGTGAATGGAAGACCTGTCTGTTTCTCCCTGTGTGTGTTTATTTTGTTTTTAAACCTTTTTTTTTTCAGAAGTAAAAAAAAGAAAGAAAATACTCCTTTGGTATGTTTAGAGTTATTTAATCATACACCATAAAATGTGCATTTTTGTTTCATGTTTTTATTTGGTGTTTTATTTATTCATCTTTAGAGAACCCAGGACACCACTACCATGGCTGGAAAGCCCAAACTTCACTACTTCAATGGCCGGGGCAGGATGGAGTCCATCCGGTGGCTGTTGGCTGCAGTTGGGGTGGAGGTAGATTCTACTCTAGGATGTTTGCACTTGAAGCTAAAATTGACTAAGTCAGATACTTTTTTCCTATAAGCTAGATTTCTTTACTCAATGACCTGAAAATGTGGTACCTTAAATATGAATTGCTAATGATAAGGAGAATAACAGCTTTGACTAAATAAATTGATAATATTTTTGTCATCCAGAAGCACAACTAAATAATAGCTAAAATAAATTTACTACTTGTAATATGTGGATAATAAGTGAAGTTAGATTTTAAAACCACAAAAGTAATTTATGTCACTTACATGATATAGTGTTGATTATATATTTGATGATATTAAAGCATTATTATTAATAATGTGTAATCATATGTGCTAATGTGCAGTTGGAACATAGTGCAAAGATTTGTGTGTATAAGAATTTCTAAGCCTAGAAAATACTAAGTATATATGTGATAAAAAGATTGAAAAATGGTATACCTATAAAGTGTACTTAGCAGAAGTGAACTGGAAGTTGCTCTGGGTGAGTTAGTGAGGAAGTGGGTGTGACGGACTGGGGCACTGTGGCGTACTTCTGTTGGCCTACAAAAGCTTGAACCAAGCTACATTCAGTTCACAAAAACAGTTCCTTCTTTAATAACAAAGTAATTTCAGTTTCGTGAAATTAACTTTATTTCGTGGTTACAATGACAGCTTAAAATACAAACAATTGTACAACTGTATAAAAGATTTTTCTCTCTATTCTGACTTTTGTAAAGCTCTTAGTTTTTTAAAGTTTTGTATTCTCTTAGGAAATTACATTTTTAAAAAGTATTTGTATCTTTTTTCCACAAACACCCACATTGAACTAGGACCATAAATATCACTGTCTTGCACCTTTGCATCCTGCCCATCTGGAAGATCTTCAGGTGCAAGAACCATTCATGGGGTTGTCGTCTCAGTGGTTACAGGAATTTCTCCTGGATTCCCTCTGACAGACCTGCCTGAGACTCTGCCTGGGAGTGTGTCATGTTTCCTGACACATGTTCGTGGTGATTTTTTTCATTTTGCTTCACAGATTGGCCTGTGAACAGTGTACCATGATCAACCTTCTCTACTAATGAGAATATTTTGTTGGGTTCTGTGTTTCAAACTTCTTGAAGAATTTGTTGAACTCTGCACAACTTTCTACTCATTTCTAACTGTGAACTTTCTTCTTTCTCTTCTTTATGTTTTTCTTTCCTCAGGCCTCTGCACTAGTCATGCGCTCACTGAGACCTAGGAATATTCCAGTTCTTTTGTAATATTCTGGGAAAATCATAGTCTGAGCAAACTGCAGTAACTGCATGGAAACAGAAAACTAAAAGATAATTTATTTTGGTGCAAAAAATTATTCAACTCCAAGAAGTTTTGAAATAGGAATCTCTATTTTCCATGGCCTCATGGATGACTCTTCTGCAATATAGTTTGTCATTTATAGAAACGTCATACTCAATGCATCACTGCATAAAGTACCTGGGGTGCCCATCACACTCAAGGAGGGTGTGCAGATAGGTGAAAAGACAATGACTTTTGAGATGATTGAAGATGGTTGAGTGTACAAGGATCAATACAATACCTTCTCTTCAATATATAGCAGAATTGTTCCTAATAAGTGGATCAAAATGTGTAATATTGGGCAGCAAGAGGAATGTATTACAACAACTACCTGTTAAGGAAGCAAAGCATTTACCTTGCAGTTATTTTGTTGAGCCTCTGATGAGGGTCAGCATCTGTATCAGGGATACATAGTAAACAAGATAGACACATTTCCTTAGCTTATCTGTACATCTAGGAAAAGGCAGACAAGTACAGATATGACTGAAGCGAAAGATGGGGCATCTGAAAACCCAAGAAGTTAAAGGTTGTTCTTCCTTGGGTTTGAGCAAGAAATGCCAGCATGTGTCTGTGTGGTTCTGCTGTAGGCTGCCCATTATTTCAAAATCTTAAATGGCTCCTGGCCCATGGCAGATCTTATACGGGGTACACAGCAGGTTCTGTTATTTTCTCATGTGAGACACAGACATTCCTGAGATCCACAACGGAAGAATTAGAAAATGTTCCCAGCTGCTTCCTTCAATGTCATCTCCTAAATTAAGGCCTAATGATGGGCATCTGTGAGGTCAACGTGCAAAAGAAGTGAATTTAAAAGGATGAGCAGCTATGGTCTATGATCCATGTTCTTTTTCTTTCATTTTCTAAAAAATTACTTTTACTGTTTTCCGTGACATGATTTTATAGGTATAGAGATTCTTGCCTTTCCCTCCCTGTCTTGATATAAAGTTCCCAAATGACTGTGACCAGATTCCTTCATGCATCTGTCAAATTCAGAAATCTTAGCTTTTTCACAGTATGCACTATTCAGTGTTCATGCACGTGGGAAAGCCTGTAATGCCATGGAATTAACTAATAAGAACTTATTTACTCTTTCTACATTTAGTTTGAAGAGGAGTTTATATATGGTCGAGAAGACTTGAATAGGATAAAAAATGGTAAGATCATCTATTTAAATGACTGATACGAGTATGACGTTTAGACACCAGCCTACCCATTTTTACTGCAGTTTTGGGGTTGGTGGGAGGGAAAGAGTGTTTACAATGCAAAACATTAAACTACTAGAGCAGTTCTGACCTCTCTCAAATAAAGCAATCCCCCCCTCTTTTGAAAAAAGGTTTATTAATTTTTATTGGAAAGGCAGATATACAGAGAGGAGAGACAAAGATATTCTATCTGCTGATTCTCTCCCCAAATGGTCTCAATTTCCAGAACTTAGCCAATCTGAAGTCAGGAGCCAGGAACTTCCTCTTGGTCACGCAAGCAGGTGCAAGGTTGCAAGGTCTTGGGCCATCCTCTATTACTTTCCCAGGCCAGAAGCAGGAAGCTGGATGGGAAATGGAGCAGCCAGGGCACAAACCAGCACCCATATGGGATCTCAGTACATGCAAGGTGATAGGCTATTGCACCAGACCCCAGTGGTGTTGTCTTAAGAGCACACAAAGGATCCTTCGTAGAAGACTCTCAAAACCTTTGTGTCATGAACACCAGCAAAACCCTGAGAATGCTGCACTCTTAAATGATACCTGACTGCCTTGGAACTGCTTCTGCAAAATTCCTTCTATGATATCCATGACGATAAAGTAAAGAAGATATATTTGGATGTGCAATATATCTGGATAAGAAATAAAAAATCACTCAAGTAACAGGGTAAAAAGATTACAGAAAGCTAAAAATAAAATCTTAGTTTGCTGAAAGTTTATCGAGTAAAAATTTTACTTTTATATCCTCAGTCATTTCTAAAGCATGGTTTCATCTTCAAAGGATGGGATTCACAGACATCTCACTCTGTTTTTATTTTCTTCTTTCCAAAGATGAAAGTTACATGTTCCAGCAAGTGCCCATGGTTGAGATTGATGGAATGAAGCTAGTGCAAACCAGAGCCATTCTCAACTACATTTCCAACAAACACAACCTCTATGGGAAAGACATAAAGGAGAGAGCTCTGTAAGCTGTATTCTTGTTCTTACATCAGCAAATAACACAGGGATCATGTGAGCAGGAACACATCAGGGGGATTAGGAGGTTTACTGTAGTGAACTCCTTTGGAGATATGGGAAGGCTGGCTACATAAATGGACCTGGAAAATGTGTGCCAAAACCTTTGGGCTCAGGTCATCTACAGCACAGTGCAAATAACTATGATTTACAAGTATATCAACTTCTGTATACAGAACTAGCAAGGAGGAGCTGGTAGTGGAATGGGCTAGTTGCCATATGCTTGGTTTATGCTGCTTCTTTGAGTGGAAATACTGCATGGGATCAGATATTTTGCCCAAGTATTATATGTTAAGGCACAACTCAAAAAACTGCTAAAAGGAGACATCCAGTTATGGAGATCTTTGTTAAGCCAATGAGCAAAATTCTTGCTCAAAGCAATCCAGGGTGAGCAGATATCCTGTGGGGAGAATGAAAAATTTGATCAGATATGAAATGCAAACAGATATCAAGGGAGGGTGGGTTCTCACAGAACTGAAGAGGGTTCATGATACAGCAGTGCAAGGTTAACCAATCTTGACCCAAAGATAAAGTTCACTTGCAAAAAGTGCTCAGAGGATCCTGAATAAAGCTTGGTCAAGGGGTGCCTTTGTCAAAATCTTAAGGGCTGATAAGTAACAAAGTGTGTCATAAACATTTATATGGAAGGTAGAATTTTAATTCTTTGGAAAAAACTTATAATTTAATGAATTATTTAAGTCAATATTTCTGAAGACTTTAAGGAGATCTAAAGGGGGGGGGAATCATCTGACCCTTGGTTGCCTTTGTCTCCCAGGATTGATATGTATACGGAAGGCGTGGCAGATTTGAATGAAATGATCATTGTTTTCCCTATGCAACCACCTGGCGTAAGAGAGACAAAACTTGCAGAGATCAAAGACAAAGCAAAGAACCGTTATTTTCCTGCCTTTGAAAAGGTGAGTGGAAATCTTTCGATTTTTAAAGAAGATTTATTTATTTGAAAGTCAGAAAGTCAGAAAAGTAAAGACAGGAAGAGAGAGAGAGTGAACAGGAGAGACTGTGAGAGCCTGGATCTTTTATGTGCTGGTTCACTCCCAAAATAGTTCCAATGGCCAGAGCTCAGCCAGGCTGAAGCCAGGATCCAGGAATCCAATGTGGGTAGCAGAGCCCCATACACTGGGACCTTGATCTACTGCTTTCGCAGGAGCATTATCAGGGAGTTAGACCAAAAGTGGAGCAGCGAAGACTTCAACCAGCCCTCATACAGGATTCTTGGTGTTACCCACTGCACCACAATACCGGACCCCCAGTCATTTAACTTCTGAGGACACTAAGAATGCAAAGTGTGTCTTAGTTCTAACAGATCATTTTAGCAGTTTAGGCTGCTGTAACAAAATACCACAGACTGAGTGAGTCTAGCAGATGATTCTTCTAGAACTAGAGGATGGGAAGAACAAGATCAAGCCACTGGCAGATCCAGTAACTATTGAGGACTTGCTTCCCGGCTGATGGATGGTCCACTTTGGCTGTGTTCTCCCATGGTGGATGACCACAAAGGTTCTTGTGGTTCCTTTTATGCCACTCAGGGCTGCTCCACTCTCATAACCCAATCATCTCCCATAGGTTCCACCTACTGCAGAATCACATAGGGGGTTAGGAGCTCAACATGTGAGTTTGTAGGATGACACAGACATTTGATCCATTATCAGAAATCAAAAAACTCAAGAAAACACATGCAAAGTATATAATGCAATGCATTGTTTTATACCAGGAAGCTATCCAGATTTTATATGTATACAAGGTATGAAAGAATATTTGTCAAGATATTCACTTTATTCGATGATGCAGGTGTGCTTTTTAAACTTTACTATTATTATTATTTTCAGATTTATTTTATCTTCACTTGAAAGGTAAAGTTACAGAGAGATGGAGAGACACACATACATGGAGATATTTCATTCACTACTTAATTCCCCAAATTGCTGCAATGGCCAGAGCTGATTTGAAGCCAGGTTCCAGGAGCCTCATTCAAGTTTCTCATGTTGTTGCAGGTGCCCATCGGGCCACTGGGCACTTGGACCATTATCCTCTGCTTCCCCAGGTTATAAGCTAAGAGTTAGATCAGAAGTGGAACAGCTGGGACTTGAACTGGAGCTCATATGAGATGTCAGTGTCAAAGGGAGCAGGTTAGCCTACCACATCATGACACTGGTCAACTTTATTATTTTACTATTATTGGAATAGTTAATATCACACATAACCATAAAATTATATTGTATAAAATTCCATACATCATCCAGAGATGAAATAGATTGAAGATGAACATATATTCTTGTCACCTAGATATCAAACTTCGTATCTTATTCTGTTCAATTGTCACCATGTGTCTTTCCACCCATTTGTCAACTAAAAATCATTTTTTTTTCATGCTCTTTGAAGTACGTTGCAGACATCAATGGCAGCTGAAAAATAACACATTGTGAGTTAGGAGTCAGAACCAATACCACTAGAAAGATGATTAAATCAAGTTCAGCCATGTTTACTTTAGATTCCAAATATATAGAGCAGGAAGGCAAAACTTGTAGCATCTGAAATAGTCTCCTCCTTGGAAAATAGCTGCCATAAAGTTGGAGCACCTGCCAAAATGGGGAGTGCAGGCAGAACGGATGGGGGAAGCGTGTCCTGAAATGTCAGGGCTGCACATTTTGTGATGTGGGGCACATGGCAGTATGGGACAGCAGGGACTAAGCCTTGGCACCATAGGAAGAAGCAAATGAGAATGGGCAATGTGGATGCCATAGGGAGAAGGAGGTGAGAGTGAAACGAGAGTCTGGACCCCAAGCGACGAGTGAGCGCAGACACATTTCATTCTCTCCTTTGTGAAGCAAAGGCTCTGGAGAAAGGCCTGCATCTCCATCTTTCCTTCCTTCAACCAGCCAGGCAGCAGAGTTGGGAGAGTCTGGCTGGAGGGGAAGGGACCCAGCCTGACTATAATTTCTGCAATTCTTCAGGTGCTCAAGAGCCATGGACAAGACTACCTGGTTGGCAACAAGCTGAGCAAGGCTGATATTCTCCTGGTGGAGCTGCTCTACAATGTGGAAGAGCTGGATTCCAGCGCCATCACCAACTTTCCTCTGCTGCAGGTGACCTGTCCTACAGTGTTAGAAAGGCACAACACACATTTCCAACTTAGAGTCTAATATTTAGACTCTGCATGGAAGTTGTCCTGAGTCTTCATCTTCATCTTCTCATGTTCTTCATCTTCTTCTCTGCGCCAAGAAATTCCAAGCTCTAGATCTGGTGCACAAACACTAAGCTTGCTACATGAGAGTCATAGGTGGATGCCACTGAAGATTATTTGCGTTTTAAGAGAAGGACCCAGAGCATATCATGTCTTCCCTTCCAAGTCCCCTCTTACTTTGTGCTATTCCTTATTGCCCCATGAAGCCCTTCAACCTGGTGTGTCTTTGTGTGTTCCACTAAGTCTACCTGTATAAGTCTTTTTCCATGCAGTTTCCCTTTTTCAGATCTTGCCTCCACATGGCAGAATTTGTGTTGCTGCACAGTTTTCTTCCTACCTTCCTCTCCCACAACTCCTGCTGTTATATTACAGTATGGAAACTGGTTGTGTCCTGCACCTGGTTAGCCTTTAATTTTTATGTCTCCAATTGTTAATTAGTTTTCCCCTAAGTAGTCTTGGTGAAAACTTCTGTGAGTTGACAGCTGATAGACACATTGATCTCTACCATATCCTAACAGAGGCAAGAAGGCACAGTTATGGTATAAGGAGGAAAAGGGATAACTGGAATGAGAGGTCATAATGATATCTTGGGGAATATATTATTGAACCATATTTTCTTTATTTTATTTTATTTCTTTCTATATATTTTCTGTATTCCTACTAACTAGGAACCATTTTCCAGTCTCAACACTGGTGCTGATGGTCTTTGCCTAGGAGAGTTCAGACTTCTTGGGTTGTGCTAGTGATAGGGTGGGCGCTCTTTGCTCCACCCTGAAGCTGTGATCTGTGCCCTGCAGGCCCTCAAGACCAGAGTCAGCAGCCTTCCCACTGTGAAGAAGTTCCTGCAGCCTGGCAGCCAGAGGAAGCCATCACCTGTGAATTAGAAAATGTTGGGAGAAGCAAAGAAACTTTTCATGTAAATATAGCAGGTGTAGAAGAAAATTAGCTCATGTCAACCAGTATTCTGAAATTCATACCATTGAAATATATTCCTTGTATGTTGACCAAGATAGTAAATAATTTTCAAGTGACGTTGGTAATTAGTGAAAATAATTTGAGAAGATTTCATTAAAATTTCTTCCTTTTAATTGGAATTTGGTATAAGTCCAATTTCCAATGTCCTTGTAAGCAATCTCTGTGTTGGAATTAAATATTGAAGAAAAGAAAATGCAGATAATTGGTTTGCCTGGCAATGTCTCCCATATGTTTTATGAAAGAATCAAGGGTAGAAATTCACCTTCACCATCCTTAGGTGCACCTAGGATATATTTACCATTACGAGAAACAGCACAATAAAATCTTTTTTTATTGAAGAACCATCTTATTACTGATCATAAAATGTGTGTTCTTATTTAATGTCAAGCAGTTATGCAACAACTATGCAGTCTTCAGTGGTCTAGGAAGTGAGAACCAAAGCAGACCTAACTTTGCTCTCAAAGGAGCCTGCTGTCCCCTACAGCAGGTGTGTACTCAGCTCCTCCTCGCTGTGTCCCATGATGCTAAGTGGGGCACACACAGCAGTCCTACTGTCTGGAACACTGAAACCTGGTTTTGCCAGATGTAGATTCTATATGAGAATTACGTATAATGAATGTGGGTGTTAATTCATTTCCTGGGGCACGTCCCTGAGTCAGATTGCAGAGCTGAGGAGCAATTTCTCACTTCCCTGATAAACAAGACACCTTGTGTTTATTTTCCACAGGAAATCTGGGCTTTCACATAGGGAGTTCTTCTCTAGTGAGCTTCCCTAGAGTGGGGGGAGAGGAGGATGGGGAAGCAGACAGGCACATGGCACAGCTTGCCTGGAGTGTCTCTTCATTCCAGTCTTTTTCTGTTTGCAACCAAAGTGTTTTTATTTCCAAAACATCAACATGACTGTCATTGCCTCTCTGCGAATCCTTCAGTGACTCCCTGTTTCCAGTTGAATGAATCTCACATTCCTCTACATTCCTTGATTCTTAGCTCCTGATTTTGTGAGGGCTAGTCATGATATACAAGATGATAATCACAACCTCAGGGATGAAAATTTTTCTAAGAATGTGAGGTTCTTTACTCTTTAATAAGTACAAAACTATGCAAAGTAATGCTTTACATTACTTTTTATCTTTACACGGCTCTTGACTCCATTAATTATTTGCAATGCACAGAAAAGCAAAATAAGAAAAACATAGGAAAAAGTTACATTAAAAGAGAGGAAAAAATAAATTTAAAATTAGAGATCAGAGTTCTAACAGTGAATCAAACATCACAGGTCAAGGGTAGACATTGTCTGGGTGGTCTGGCACAATACACCCCTCCAAGATGATGTTCAGAGGCTCCAGATGTCAGCCTCGAAGTCACTGGGCTTCTACTCCAGCAGAGGCTCTGGCAACTGGTGGCTTTTCAGAGTGAGATCTCACAGGGGGTGGAATCAGCAAACTGTGCTCAGAGTGCAGCTAGATGATTCTGATATTCTTTGCTCAAAAGACTGCATCATTTTGGCTTCCAGCTGTCACTCTGGATGGGAAATGTTCTGGACCTAAGGTATCCCGTTTGCACATGGGCACACAGTTGTCAGTGCCACTATCTGCACTAGCGTAAGTAGTGGACCTCCTGTCTACACAGAGCTCCTGTGGGATCTGTTAGAGCTTGTGTTACAATCGAAAGCTCCCAGGAAGCCTCGATGTCCCCTCTGTGCCTCCACAGAGCTCCGCAAAACCTTTAATAACAATTTCTGGCTGTTGTGTCTCCTTCACTGTCCTGAGAGTTCTGTAATGTGTCATGACAAACGTGCCCCTCAGTGCCTCATCACAAATGGATAATAATATCAAACACGACTCCATGCCATCACCCAGGGACAAGCAAGTGGGTATTGGAGTCCCACACTCAACCTGTACACTCTGCCTGACACTGTAGTCACTCTGCTATTCTGTATCATGCATTTATTCATACATCTCAAGTTGCTCTTGTCATAGATTGCTCTGGACTGGGTGACCAGAAAGAAGAGCTGGATTCTGTCATTGTACAAAACCAGAAGACCAAGGGGAAGGGGTCAGGGGATCCCCTCTCTACACGTAGCTCTTGGAGAGAATCTTCTCCAGTCTCTCCTGGCATTTGGTTGCTTTTGTCTTCCAAGGCTTCTAAGACCATCGCTACATTACACTCACTTCTGTCTCTGCCATCTTGCTTTGGCTTATTTGCTTCTTCTCTTTGTTATTTGATATACCACCTTCACTGCTAATCCAGGATGATTTTAACTTAATTTTCCTAAGTAAATAACATATGAAAAGATTCTTTTCTCAAATGAGGTCTTATTAAGGCATTTGCACATGGGCCCATCTTTCAGCTGATTATCCTAATGGAGCACGCTCTGGTCTAATGAAAAAAATTTGTTGTCAATTATTGCTGTAAATTAATGTCTAGTTTGGAGGTATGTTGAATAATTGAGAAACTTTATATTACAATTTGAGTTACATAGAGTTCCTGCTATTTTCAGGTCGTGCTCAAACTGTGGGGACAAGACTCACACAAGATGATGACTACTCGTGGGAGCTCAGTCTGTGGAGAGAACTAATATGAATTATATAAAAGCAAGGGGATGTTTGAAAATACAGAAAAACATAATGGGACATGTAAATAAAATATTCTAATCAGAGCAAAGAGCTAAAAAGCTAGGAAGGCCAAAGTGACTGAGGCAGGAAGACAAAGGAAGTCACATTGCTAGATTTAACAGATAAAAACAGAGGACATCAGAGGAATGTAAAATAGTTTTTACAGTAACCATTTACCATGCACTTTTAGGGACAAAATTATACTGACAATTTATTACTTGGCTGAAATCCCTTGTGACTGAGTGACTGTTTTTTTTTTTAATGGCAGGCAAGCATGATTAATATTCCAACATGCGGCCAGCTACTCTTTACAGACCAACACCTCTCAAGCTGTCTTCTGGTGGCATATTTTTTTTATCTTCCTCTTTTATCCATTTATCCAATTTGTGAAAACTCAAAATAAATTTTTTTTCTTCCAAAAAGCAATTCCTAACTGGCAAAAGGAGTAAACCATTTGATATTTCTGTCTAAGCTTTTGTTGTCAGACTTTCAAAGAAATGTACTAATCACTTCTATCTCAATGGGAGCATGACTTGGCATTTTGCTTCTAGTCCAGTAGAAACACAGAAACTGTATCTATGAACTCTGTGGGAGTGGCTTTAATCTAACTTGAGCTACTGCTTTTAGAGGAAATGAGTTATTGAAATGAATAAATATCTAATTGACATACAAGGAATTGGCATTAAGGTTTTGGGTCAAGGAGACAACCTTTTATAAGGTGAGTACCGACCTTAAAATCTTCCTACATTTCCTCACATTTTTCTCTCTGGAAAAGCACTCAAAATATATTCTTAACACAAGAAAAAGTCATTTTATGCTCACTTCACATCTTTCTGATGTGTTTTGATGATAGTTCAGGAACTGATTATCCTGTTTCTGTTGAATACATCTTTACAGAAATGTAAAAAAATGCAAAATCTATAAAATTTATACAGCAAGAGCATCAGACAGTCATAGTATGAGAACCTTAACACCATGAGGAGAAAACATGATAGTAGCCTTTTAGACAACTGTGAATTTGTCCAGAGCAAGAGAAATGCTAAGATTGCTTTTTCTGAACAAGTCAACATGTAATTGCGGTAAATTATAATACTGTAAGAGTATTTAGACTGGAAAGACAAAAAAGTTAAAATTCGAATAGGATTAAATTAGTTTAAATTTCAGACGAACTAGACTTAAATTCTGCTTTAACTCCTAATTATTTGAATAACAAGTCATGATCTCTGTGATTCAAACAACTCCAGGCAAATCTAGAGAATAGCTAAGGCAGGGTTTCTTAAACTTGGTGCTATTATCTTTCTGATTGGTTCATTCTCTGACCTGCCAATCATAGGATGTTTAGATACTTCCTTGGGTTCTCTCCATCTAATGCTGTAGCATTATACCATTCTCAGCCCCAGGTTATGACAATAAAAGTATCTCCAGGGGGTTAGTGTGTAGACAGTGTGTGAAGCTATTACCTGTGGTGCTGACATTCCATGTAGGCACTGGTTCATGTCTCAGTTGTTCAATTTCTGACTCGGCTCCCTGTTAATGTGCCAGAGAGACAGTGAAAGACAGCCAAATATCTGGGTCCTTGCCACTTACAGAGAAGACCCAGAGTGAATTCCTGGTTCCTGGATTCAGTTCAGCTGAGTCCTGGTCATTGTTGTCATTTGGAGATGAGCCACAGATTGGAAGATAAATCCCTATCTGTGCCCCTCTCCCCTGTAACTCTGCTTTTCAAATAAATAAATAGATAAGTCTTTTAAAAATATTTCTAGATATTTACAAATGTTCTCTAGACTCACTGGACTCTTGGTCTTAAATATTGAGACTCAGAACAATTGAGGAGAGCACTAGATGACCACTGGAACACAAAACTACTCTTAAAATTTGTACTAATGCCTGATTGGAACACACATATTAATAGGATTAGAATATCCTGAAAATTGGCAATATTTTGAAAAAAGAAACTCTTAAAAAGAACATATGGTGAGTATAAAATTCCCTGAAAATCTAGGTTTCAGAGCAACCAGTGTCTGAGAATTCACAGGAAAGAACAGTGTACCCATTGGGGAAGATGTTGAGATGGTGACAGCAAAACAGTGTAAGATGCTTCATGGAGAGCTGTCTGGATGAAGATAGGATGTGATCCTAATTTAAAGGGGAGGAAGGCAAGCACTTAGGGGCTGTTACCATAGATTGAGAACCTACCCTGGCAAGTAGGAGTTACCTGGACACAAGGGGCAGGGTCTTGGTTTCTCTTACCCTGGCACTTTTCTCACCTTGATCTAATTTGCCTTGATAAGGCTCCATTATTTCTGTATTGGAATTTCCAGGAACCCATAGAGCAAAGTCACTGTAAGGCACATTGCTATGTCAGGTGTCTGAAAACCTATACTGTTGACAAAACCTTTACACAGGAGCCAGGTTAGACCGGTTTCTTGTTCCTTACCAATCTTTGTAATTGTTTGATACACAGAAATTGGTGAGTGACAACTATTTAGGAAATTTGCAACACTGGAAAAGGAATGCAGTTCTCATGTACAGTAGAAACAGGGAATCATGTGGCAAGATCCGTGATTGCGTGGATCCATGTCTGCACTCCAATGTAGGTAACAGGTTGTTGTAGAGAAGTGGTCACTTTCATCGGGTGCTGAATGTGAGATCCTAGATGGAGGGAGAGCTGTAGATGTAATGAGTCTCCCAGTCAAATTAGACAACCAGTTCTTTCTGGGATGCAAATAAAAACAATACAGGGCCAAAC